TTGCTTTCTTCAAAGCATTGAGTGGAAGCATCGTGATCCTAAAAAGCATGAAAACTAAGTTCTTTTTTCTATCATATCTATAACCAAAAATTGTGTAGTTCCAGTGACAAAAGAACCCAAGGCGCTAACCTTCCGTTGTTTGTGTAAACTTCTCGATGAAACCCGTCAGGCAAAGTAAACATCTGCTGCGAATAATCCAAAAATTCATGTTGAGATGTAAACAGAGCAACTACTATTGAGCTAAGCAACAACTAGATAACCAAATAGGGTCAACACACACATTCTATTTGAAATCAGTACAAAGATTCTACAGAAATTTTATGCAAAACTAGAAAACGTTAAGCTCATAGTCATTGTGATATTCATAAACAAATCAGCACGCGATTATTAAAAAAAAAAAAGGTAGCATAAGCAAACTCACATCAACACCAAGGAACGTGCAATAAAAATAAACTCATGAACATGCCTTATCCCATGGAAAAAAACACCAATTATTATTACTACATCTCTCTCTCTTCCTTTGAAGCTTAATGTCGTTCTTCGAAAAACTATCATCAAATCCAAGCTCTCTCTCACTTCTATAGCTAATCAAAGTTCTTGTAAAACAACTAAGAGCTACAAAACAAACATAAAAAGTTGTTGTATTCTCCTTTCACTAGTGAAGCCTACCATACACACGGTCTAAACATGATAAAACCAATCAACATCGCAAAAAACCAAAATTGACACTCAAATCATCACCAATAGCCTATTAACGAGACACCTAAGCTGAAACAGAGAGTTCGTTACCATAAACAAAGACAATTCGATAGTCTTCGTGAAGAAAATGACAGTCTCAGCAGCAAGCGCTTGGATCAAAGAGCCGAAGAAGCTCTCCAAAACGCAGCGTTTCAAGCTCGGATTCTCCATTCTTCTGATCTGCAAAGCAGGTGTTCGAAAAAGGAAACAAAAATTTGCGAAGATCTCGAAGAGGAAAGCAATCTCGATTTGGGAATTAGGGTTTACGGAAATGGAAATTGGGGGGTTTTAGACCAAAGTGGGTAAGTAGATTCTGCTTTCGACAACGAAGCGGAAGCTGATTACAGACAGATTCGGTTGGTATTAATGCTAACTTGACGTGCGGTCTTTCTGTTTTTCGTGACAGGCAGCACGTGGCGCTTTTAGGTCTTACTTCTTCAAGTGCCAGGCAGACGTACTTATTGGGCCTAAATAAATTTAGGCCTCTTCTAAGCCCATTTATTATAATGACTGGTTGGTTGAAATCTACCATTAGCCGTTAATCTTTTTTAACGTTGTACATATCTCTCGGTTAACATAAAAGCTTTAGAAAG